ATTAATTGTTTGTGCCTCCTTTATCCAAAATCCTTTGACATCATAAAAAAAAATGACAAAAAATATTGACATCATCAAATGATTTAATTATATTTTCAATTTTACCGTTTAAGATTTTGTTCAATTAGAAAATAATTCTTCTGTTCTTTTTTGTAATTGGTTAGTTTTAAATGGTAAATTGCAAATGTAATTAAATTATTTAATGATGTCAATATTTTTTATGTTATTTTTATTTTTATTTATTTATTTATTATGCAATAATATAATAGAAGAGGGAATCACTAATAGGAAAGTAAAAGGTTTCTATCATTTAAGAAATCTTAGGAAATGTTTCTATAATTTAATTAAACTATATGGGAGGCCGGTGTAATTAAAAACTAAAGCTCAAGGGAGGATTCTGTTGTTTTCACATTTCTTTAAACCTCAGGACAGGTTATAGTGCAATAGAAAACTAAATATTAAGGGCGGTTTAAGTCATTTCAGAAACCTCTAGGGAGATTTTTATAATTTCATTAAAACCTCAAGGGAGGGAAGTATAATTTACCCTATATATATTATTGTAGTCGCTTAAATACTATTTTTTTAATATAATAAAACAATAATGTTTTGGACTTCTAATTGTGGGTCTCACATGATGATGTGGTGTTTTCGCTTGCTTTTTCTTTTTCTTTTTTTTTTCTTCTTCTTCTTCTTCTTTTTTTTTTGACACCTCATTAGAGCTCATGTTAGAACTCTAGTATTAGAGCTTTTTATCACTAACCATAACAAAATTGGTGTGAATCAATATAGACAATTTCATAGAATCACGTGTATTTATGTCTTGTGTTTCTTGTTTGTGATCTAAATTATTCTTTCTTTTTTTTTTATTAGGACATTTTTATTACACCAATTTATGGTGAGATTATTTATTTTATGATTAATGTTACAAAATTTTATGATAAAATTATATATTTTTGTGGTATGGTGCATGACAAGCACCCCTAAGAGAGTGCATACCATAAGATTTCAAAATATTCAAAGATTTTAGCCAAGGAACACAATGCTCTCTAACATAATATTTGCTGAAATCACAATTCAATGATGCTTTTAAAAAATATATAAATACATGAAAAATTTAGAATTTTAATTATTAATATTTATAAAGTTTATTGCTGATGTATAATTTTTTTCTCCCCCTAAATTTGCGCTCAATCGGAATTTCCCCTAATATTCTAGCTAAGATTTTACTAGCCCACGATTATGAACGTATGTTAAACCCATCCTTCTCTGTGTATAAGTGATTTTTTTCTTGGGTAAATCACATTCAACCCCGTTAAAATTTGAGAAAAATATAGTTAGTTTTACAAATTTAGAATAATTATACTGGCCTCTATTTTAATAAGGTTAAAATAATTAAAATTAATGTAGATAGTGAGTAAACAATGTAAATATACATTAGTATAAAAGATATGATGATATCATTTTTTTCATTCATAGGACTCACAAATTACTAATGAAAATGAACTTAAGTGTTATATTAATTAAAAAAAAAATTTAAAAAGTTAGTGTAAATATGCCAAAATGATGAGAATAATTGTAGTTTTTTCAAACCTTAAAAGAGATCCCTTCTCTTTATATTTTTGGGGTTACAAAGTTACCAATGGATTTATATTTTCAAAATGAAAGATCAATACTCTCGAAGTGAAAGTATTATGGAGAACTTAAACAATTTTCAAATGAAAGAAACTACACGTGTTGGGTGTAGGAGTTTAAGCCACATTTGAAGGCGTTCAAAAACGACTTCTATTAATAAACGGTACCGTTTTAATTAAATCAAAATGCGACGTTTATAAAGCGTCGCTAAATATTAGAAAAAGTGACGTTTATAAAAACGCCATTAAATAAACGCCGCTAAATCCCATTTTTCCTGTAGTGGTGAAAGTATTCTGGAGAATTTAAATAATTTTTAAATGAAAGAAACTACACGTGTTGGGTGTAGGAGTTTAAGCTTTATATTAGGTACTGTGTTTATGTTCGTTGGCTTTTTGCTAATCAAATATTGCATCAAATTGGATATAAGCCATTTAGCTTTTCAAATTGATGCTTTTCTTCCTTTCCTTTACTTCTTGTAATGCTTTATTTATCTAATAAAATTTGTTGATAAAAAATATTTTTTAAAAAAAAAATGAAGTTACCAATCGGTGTAACATATATATATATATATATATATTTATTTGGTATTGTAAAAGTAGGATGCCTAACTGTTGTGGTGAAAGTTTTATACACCTCCCAAATGCTTGATTGCCCTGCTATAGTTTCTCTTGTAATTGATAAATTTCAGTGATTGTTCTGAAGTTTGGAAAAGATGCCAGGGATCAAATTTGAGTAATCCCATTAGGAAATTAAGAGTTGGGATGAGCGGTAGTTTGTGTTTAGGTCATATCATCTTTGAGAATGAAAATTTAGGAATTTAATTACTACTTGAGCACCCTTTATAGTTTTAGAAATTTAACTAGATTTCTATTTTAGCACAACTTTAGAAATAAATAAAGAAAAAGAACAACAACTGCAAATATTCAGGTTTACATTAAAGTTTCGAATTCCCCAACTTGGCCATATTCATAAGAGTATAGACCATAAAACATTACTAAACTAAACTGGTTCTTTACAAAATTACCAACTAATACCAAAACCATTTAGTTACAATCATGCATTGTCACCCTCCATCGTCTTTGGTGTTATATGCACTAGCTCTGCAAAAAAATAATAACAATAATAATAATAATAAATAAATAAATAAAATCATCTTCTAACCCTAAAACCTTGGGAGTACTAGTGTGTTTGGTTTCAGTTTTCTAAATTCAATTTTTTGAAAATTGGATTTTTTGTTTTTCGTATTTTTTTGTTTTTAGTAAATATTTTTAAAATTTTAAGCAATTTTTTTACTTTTTTAGATGCACCTTAGATATATCTAAAGATTAAAATATTTGTGAAAAATATTTTAATAAAATAAAAAATACACAAAAATACGAAAAATATACTGAATTTTCATATATATATATATATATATATTTGTATTTTTTAGTATTTAGTGAATTTTGTAAAGATTTTTTTCACAAATATTATATTTTTTAAGTGTATTTATGTTAGGTGTGTCTAAAAATTTTAAAAATTACTTAAAATATTAAAAAAATTCATTGAAAACATTAAAATACAGAAAATAAAAAGTAAAATTTTTTGAAAACTATTTTCTGAAAACCTTACATTTATATATAGTACATCTATCAACACGGGTGCGGGTATGAATATTAGTATGGGTACATCAATACGACAAGACTTTAAAAAAATAAGATATATGATACAGCTGGGGTATATTAATTAATCTTTTATTTTTTTATAATTTATAGTTTGATATTCAACCTAAAAATCGAAGTTCAATACCAAAACTAGAAACATAAATTACAAAATCAAAAAAAAAATCATAATTTAACAATATCAAAACCAAATCAAAATCCATAACGTATTTTAATTCCATTAAATAAGAGAAAATACAAAATAAAGTTTCATTTTAAAAGTAAACTAAAATTTAGAAACTTGAAATTTTAATTTCCACTTCTATCAACTTTATCATTAAATAACATATTTTTTTTTAATCTCTGATACATCAAGTAAAGAATTTACAATCTCGAGTAAATCAAAATTTTCTAATAAACTAAATATATGAGCACTAATATTCCATGGCTTGATGTACCCTTGATGTACTCGTACCCATGAAATACCCATAAAGTACCCAATTGTTGAAAAATATAGAGAAAGTATTTGCTATATATTTTGAGTACTCAATACACATATAATATTATCAGTAAGTGTGCTAATACTCAATAAAGACTTGATACGAGTATACCAATATTTTCGAAGTACGCGTGTTATTACACCCTTTTTCCAAGAAGAACCTATATTTTGTTTTGTTTTGTTTTTTCAGTTTTTATTTTTATTTCTTAAATCACTTTCACAATTTAGTCAAGTCAGCATTCTGCCTGGATGCACAATTACATTTACCTCTTACGTCCTCTATCAATAATTTGAAAATATTAAAAATCCTTTATGAATACTTTTCAATGACTAAGAATGCATAGAATTCTACTGTGCCACTTCTTCATAGAGAATAATACATAGCAATTAAAAGAAAATCTCCAACACTAGGAAAATACCGGTTATTACCTGATACATTCTTGACCTTTTTAACCAACACAGAATGATAACTTACACATTGCTTAAAAAATGTTATTGCATAAAAGAAACTAAAATGCGCAAGCACTCGCACACAAACTCATATTGATCAGTTTTAAATTTCTATATTAAGCCTTGTTGGGAAACCAAACTTTCTTTAGATGAGTAATCATGAACTTCTTCACAGTCCAAGAATGTTGTATAAGAGATTGAAGAGAAAATAAATGCACTTTGTTCACAGTTATCAGCTTAATTAGTTCATTACATATGTTTTTCAATAGATTTCCTTTCTTTTCTAGCTTATTAAACTTAAACTAACATTGAATGCTGACATTGGCTACATTTAGATTACTAGTTTTTCATTTTTTAGCTGACTTTAGTTAACAAGATCTTTCACTAAACTTTAGCTTAATCTGTATAGAAGGTTTCTTTCAACAAAAGAGTTTGTTGATTCTAATAAACAGTAGACTCTTGAGGAAGACATTCACTTTTGACCTTGCAATTCACTGCACCATTTTATCTATCTTAAGGGGTCCAGTCCAGCAATCCTGCCCAAGATACATGGTGGTTTTCACAGGGCAATCTCTCTCTCTCTCTCTCTCTCTCTCTCTCTATATATATATATATATATATATATGCAGTATACATACATAAATTAGGACTTATTAGATTGATATGTGATCTGATTTTTCTCTCTTTACTTTTTCTTATTTTTATTTCTTTTTTTTCTTTTTTTTTCCGGATTTTAGCCTGTAGATTTTTGTGGTCTCAATGTATGAGAAGGAGAAATAAGGTAGAAGAAAAAATGGGGACATCCCCACACACAACCATGATATTATTATTAGATGCAGTGTCAAAGTCATCTTTTTTAGTGTACCTCTCATTTATTACCTTTGTCTTTTGCCTTCATTCATTCTCCATCCACTAAATGCTGTTTGCCCCTCTCCTTCACCACTACCTTTGGCTGCTTAATTTGCAGGGGTTGCTCTCTCTCTCTCTCTCTCTCTCTCCAATTAGGTTTTCCTCTTTGAGGTTCAACCTCCAGAGATGAATCTGTGAAGCTCTCACATCTTTCATAGGCTTGCTACATCATACTTTGTATTTAAAGAAACAAAGAACAGCTCCTAAAAGAGCTCCTACAAGAGAAAAAGTACTTCCCTTTTTGCTCTTCTGATCAAAGAAACCTAGAGATCACAAACAGGTAAACACATGGTGCTCATTGTTACAACTTTTCTTATGATAATTTCTTTCTGATTAAGTTTCAATACATAGGAATTAGGAAAGCTAAAAGGCTTAAGGAGACCCTATATATATTCCTTTTGAGTACAAATCTCTCTGATCTAGGGTTTTCCAATATGAATTTAGTAGTAAGACAAGAAATGTTCATGTGCTTTCTTAGTACATACCACAGCTGTGAAAGATAATTATGGGAGGCTGCACCGGCCAGATCTCATGTTCAACTCAGTTCAGAAGAATATTATTACTTCATGATAGCTGATGATGCACTGAATTCTACCAAATCTAGGAGTCTGAAAATGTGGAGAGAGAGAGAGAGAGAGAGAGAGAGAATTAATGGATAAAAGAAAAGACAAAATTTAAAACCAAACTAAGGAAAACATGCAAGCTCAAACTGAAAGTGTGTGTGTGTGGGAGAGAGAGAGAGAGAGAGGATCTTTAAGCAGTCTTCTAAGTCTAGAGAAAATTTGGCGACTCAAACTTATTGTGGTGATTTCCCTAAGGATAAATTAAGCACTGATCAGATTTTAGGAGTCACGATCGCAGATGGACTCGAAAAAAAGAAAAACAAAAGAAGAAGAGGAGGAAGAAGATTTTTACAAAGGACATTCTTCACAGTGTATTCTTTTTACTGTATACTAAACTATACAATAAACTTACGTATTCTATGTATTTTTCAACAAATTAAAGTCTGTGTGAGTATATAAAATAAACAGTGAATTGACTCTGTCACGCCCAAACGAAGAAGCTATGGAGAAAAAAAAAAAAAAAATTTGCTTGATGGGTTTACTTGGTGTTGGTGTGGTGCAGTAAAAATGGCTTCCTCTAGCTCATACAATTCCCCTTGTGCTGCCTGCAAATTCCTGAGGAGGAAATGCATGCCAGGCTGCATCTTTTCACCTTACTTCCCACCAGAGGAGCCACAGAAATTCGCCAATGTTCACAAGATCTTCGGTGCAAGCAATGTAACCAAACTCCTCAATGAACTCCCTCCTCATCAAAGAGAGGATGCAGTGAATTCCCTTGCTTACGAAGCCGAAGCACGAGTAAGGGATCCAGTATACGGCTGTGTTGGTGCTATCTCTTTCCTCCAAAGACAGGTTGAGAGGCTCCAGAAAGAATTAGATGACGCTAACGCCGATTTGATTCGCTATGCGTGCAATGAGATTCAGACAGCACTGCCTGTTGTTGCCCACCCACCTCCACCGGCGGTGAGGCCAGTTGAGTTCACTAGAAGAATGGGTGGTAATGAAGTAGGAGGAGCTGATTTCTATCAAAACCCTTCTTTCCCATATCCTTATCCTCTTCCATGGAATGATAATAATTCTTCTTCTGGAGACATCACTCGAGGAGGAGGAGGAGGAAATATTTGAATTTTTAGAGCATTGTCAGTCAGTGTAACAAATCCCAGCCTATTTAGGGTTTGCATCTATCAGCTCTGGAATGTAACTCTCCTATCATCCTATGATATGGTGTTGTGTTTGGTTAAGGGTTTCTAGCTAGTTAGCCTCACGGGGACTCTTCTAGCTAGACCATTGAGAGTCTTTATTACCTACCTAGAAAATTATTTGGTGGGTTTAGTACTTATGTTGCTAAAATCACTACCATAAGTATTTATTAATTATCCACTGTGGGAGACCTGATTAGTAAGTCTTTAGAGTATTTTAAGTTGGCTTGTTGTGTCATTAGTGAGTCCATTTACTCATTAAGCTCAACTCCAAAGAATGTGCATGTGGAAATTCTTAATCTCTGGAGTTGTTTATGTTTAAGAATAAAAGTAGTAATACTAAGTTAATTGTAAAGAGGATTCTCTAGCCTAAGTCTATGATTTAGTCTTCCATTACACTAGTATTTATTCTCACTTTTCATTTCTACTTTGTTCTCAAGGACCACAGCATGCTTTACTTTCTGAGCATATAAATGTTGAGTTGATTAGTTTATAATCTTTGATTCCTAAAATCCCATATGAAACATGTAAGAGAGTCAGCTCTAAGTTGCCCTAAAATGACCCCATGTTAGTATCTAATTCTATATACTAATTCTCATTTATAGCAACATTAGTGAGTTGAAAATTTTGTTGAAAAAGTAAATGAGTTGTGAATGTTATTAAGGGTTGTTTTGAAAAGTTGATTTTTGATTTTTTATAGAAAAACGTATAAAAATGGAAAGAAAAGAGTTGACTATTTTTGTAGCAATTTTTTGACTTTTTAACCTATTCCCAAAACAGCCCTATGTTTCATTTTGTATTTGCGGTGTACTTCTGTAACCTTTTCTTTTACATCAGTAAATCTTAATTTTTGCTGACAAAAATAGATGATATTAAGTTTAAATTTACGCTATATACTTTATTTGGTAATTATGTTTTGAACTATTTTTACTAGCTCCTTAATTTTCTCCTTAACAATATGAACCTTCATTTAAAAAGGCAAGTTGGATGCCAAAGAAAATTAGTGACAAAAAAACTGAAATGTGGAGACATAGTCTTGGTATATATGATAGCTTTGAGCTTTGTCTACTTCAAGTGAATATCTTTTTAATGTTATGAGATCCATATCTTGCTTTTGGTGTTCATATCATATTCCAATTTGTCTTTCATTTGTGTTTTAGTTTTGATGCATTTCTGCATAGACTTTCTTATTGATGTATCTGTATATTGTACACTCTCTTTGTATTTTTGCGATTTTCATCAAGAAACGTTTCTTTTGCTTATTTTTTTTTTTTTATTAAAAAAGTTAACATATTTATAAAACTTATAAATTTATATAACTTTTATACTATATTATATCTTACTGATATAGGGTAGAGTGTGAATCTTTTATCTTTCTTTTTATGTTATTTTATTTATTTAGCTAAAAAAAACCATACAAAGTATGAAAAGATACATCAATAAAGAGGAGGTTGGAGGTAAACAAAGCTCCAACCTCCTAGTTGGTGAGAGACCAACAAGAAGATTATATTATATCTTACTGATATAGGGTAGAGTGTGAATCTTTTATCTTTCTTTTTATGTTATTTTATTTATTTAGCTAAAATAATTTATTTGCGCCACTTATGAACCTTAGCTTTGCATCCAAAATTTGTATACATTGAATTATCTAAAACAGTGAGTAAACAGTCCATAGCACATTGGCTCCATAAAGAAATTATTCTCTCTTTCAAGGGTTTTCAACTTTTTCTTACAAACCATTCACATTCACTGTTATCATTTCCAATCCAACACTTCCCAAACAAAACAGTGGCCCCGGTCCTCTCTCTCATGTGCATTTCTAAGTTTTTAGGGGAGTTTGAATGTGTTTGGGATGATGGATTTTGGCTAAAATAATTAATAAAAATAAAAAAATATTAAAATAATTAATAAGACAAAATGTTATATATTACACATTAATTAATTATTTTTTCTCTCACAATTATCAATTTAACTACAAAAAAAAAAAAATCCATAAACCATTTCAAACAGAACTTTTTTTCATCTTATAGAATAGTTAAATAATCAAAAAAATTAACTAAAATAACCAATATTCCAAATGAGGGCATAGACAAGTTTTAAATGTTGGGTTGTATTAATTTAACTTATTAATTGATAATATTCTATTGAGTAAATATAAGTTTCTTGTATATTTTTACTATTTGTATGTGCAGATGAAATGTACATGCACGCGGTGATGAAGAAATTGAGTGAAACACCAGTGAAAACATGTTAGAGGGGCTTATGGTTAATTTTAAAAAAGAACTCTATCAAATCAAAACTTTAAAATGAAGCTTAAACCCAAAAATATTAGGGTTAGGGTTTTGAGTTACACTGAAAACATACTTTCAGGGTTGGAGACATAAACATAAGGGTAGAAAGAAATATGTTTCAAAGATCGGTGCAAAATTTTGGTAAGTATGTGAAAGAGATCAATGAGTTCTTTACGCTGTGTTTGGTTAGAGGATTTTCGGAAGGATTTGGAAATGAAAAGGAAAAAGTTAGGTGAAATGTGAATAAAATATACCTACATTTCACCTAATTTCACACACCTTTTCCCTTTCCCTTTCCCTTTTCAAATTCCTCTCCAAATCTCCCAACCAAACACAGCATTAGTGTTCTTGGACTACCTAATTGTTGAGAATCATTTGGCTTTTGCTTCTTCCATCACTTTACTGTTCCAGCCCTATTTAAATACATTTATTTATGAGTAATGACATATTTTATTACTCAGAAATAAATATATTTTATTTATTGTTTCATATATTTTATAATTATCTTTTAATCTCTAACTCCAAGAATTTGAGAGGTTTAACGAATGACTTACCCACATAAATACATTTATTTATGAGTAACATATATATATATATATATATATATATCTTTTAATCTCTAACTCCAAGAATTTGAAAGGTTAAAAAAATGACTTTCGGGTGATTGTTGTTTCTTTCGACTTAGGTATTTCTATCTTACTAGTTGTGGAAAATTGGCGTAGTATATATGATAGACTGTGGTTTATGTGTCGACTTAGGACTATTTTGACCATAAAAAAATGTCATAAAACGGTATCACAGCCATGTTTTCATGAAATTCTAAGTCTTGTTGTTCTATTGTGCAATATGTTCTATTATCTTCATAAGTCTGTTCATCTTTTATGTGCGAAATGGAATGAATCTTCACTTAAGAATTAGGGATTTTTTTTTTTTTTATCAGCAAAATAAAAGTTTTATTGAATTATCTTTTGTAAGTCTGTTCATCTTTCATGTGCAAAATGGAGTGATTTTTTAATCAAGAATTAGAGGCCTTGTTTGGTTTGTTTTTTAGAAATAAATTTTGGAAATTTTTTTTTTAAAATTTTGTTTGGTTTAGTGATTTTGAAAAAAAAATTACAAAATCACTTTCTATCTCCTATACATCAATTAATCACTTTTTCTCTCTCCTCTCTCCTTTTCAATTATTTATTCTCTCACACACATCTATTTAATTACAACAAAATATCAAATCATTCCAAACTCCCATATTTCAAAACTATTTTCAAAATATATAACCAAACAAATCAAAAAAATTTCTAAACTCTTTTTCGAAATGTTATTTTGAAAATTTATATCCCACAACTAAACCAAACACACCCAGAGACTTTTTTTGTTAGCAAAATGAAGGTTTTATTAAAATTACAAGTGAAGACTTGTTGGATTGTTTGGGCTTGTATGCCAAGATAATGTTTGAAAAAAAATTTCAAAATTTTGTTTGGTTCAAATTTTTTGAAAAAAATTTCTAAAATTTCTATTTTCTACACATCAATCAATTATTTTTCTCTCTCCTCTCTTATTCTCAATCACTTTTTTCTTTCACACACATCTACTTAATTACAAAAAAATATCAAATCATTTCAAACTTCCAAATTCTAAAGCCTCCGTTTGGGAGGTGGGTTGGCTTTTTGGCTTTTTAGCTATTTTAGCTTGGGCCAAAAAGCTTGGTTTAGGAAGGACTTTTTTACTTTTTTACTTTTTTAACTTTTTTTGTGAGAGAAGAGTGTAATGATTATGGGTTAGATGTGATGTTTTGTTTGTTGTGGCTAAAATAACTTATTTTGTTTTTTGTGGCTAAATTAACCCCAAACCTCCTTGCCAAACGGAGCCTTAACTATTTTCAAAATATACAACTAAACAAATCAAAAAAATTTCTATTTTCTCCGCAAATTTCTCTTTTTAAAAAATTTATCTCAAAATACAAACCAAACACACCCTTTATGTCTCATATATTTGATCGGCAAAATTAGTAATTAATTGTTAGATTAACACTATTAAAAAGTTAAACTGAAACCCTCTCTTTGTAAGAACTTAAGATTATCGTCTACCGAAACTCACTACCTCGTTCTTACGAGTGACTCGGTGGCTAAGGAGTTAATTACACCCCCTTCTTAAGAGAGACTTGGTGGCTAAAGGGTTAATTACACTCCTTTTTTATCAGTTTAAAAATAAATAATAAATAAATATCTATACTTTCAAATAAAAATAAAATTTATATTTTATAAATTTAGCAATACTCATAATTAGCGAACACACATCCACTAGCTTATATTTATATTTTGAGTGAGTTATTTATTCATGTGTGGCTTTTTGGTGCAGAAGGCCAAAGTTTTGATCATAAGACACGACCAACTCCCTGAGGCTTTTGGCCCCCTAATCTGTCAGATCTCTCTCTCTCTCTCTCTCTCTCTCTGAGTTTGAATCTAAAATTGAATCTGAATGTGGTGGTGGGTGATGAAATATCCAGACTCTCTCTCTCTCTCTCTCTCTCTCTCTCTCTCTGAGTCTGAGTCTAAAATTGAATCTGAATGTGGTGGTGGGTATATATGTCTGTCTGTCCGTCCATCGACCTCCAAATCATGGTTTTCTCGATTGGCCAACTTTCTCGAGATCACCAAAGGGAATCCCCATTATTTGTTGGTTCATTCATCCCCTGTTGGAATTTTGGTTGATGGAATGGAAAACTATTTCACTTCACTTTGGGATCTGATCTGATCTGATCTATGAGGAGGAGGAGGAGGAGGAATAGCCACAATGTCTAGTCTTTGTGTTTCGTGTCCGTGGTAGCACAGTACTCTTCACTTTTTTCCTTGTTTATAATCTATTACTAATCAGCTTGCTTGTTTTTATTTTTTAAAAAATATTTTTCAAAAAATTTTATTTTTTTATTTTTTCTATTTTTTTATTGAATTTTTTTAATATTTAAATAATTTTTTTATTTTTTAGACACACCTAACATAAATATATTTAAAAAGTAAAAAAATTGAAAAAAAAATCTTTTAAAAATTCATTAAATATCAAAAATACAAAAATTAAGTACATTTTTTGTATTTTTATATATTTATTAATTTTTTAAAATATTTTTTCAAATTTTCTACTT